CCCCCGCCGGTCCAGCCCGACCCGCTCCAGGCCATGTCCAAATCCCATACCAACTCTAAACCCAATACCAACTACAATACCTGCTCTCATTATGAGTCCTTTTCATCGTCAGGCTCTTCACCCATCCTGATTTTAAGTCAGAGATGCCACTCAGGTGCTGCTGCTCCCAGAGCTTTTATACCGTCTGGGATTGGGCTGCTCCTTTTCCCCCGGGGCCTCACGGGAAAGGGAGGTGGGCACGGCCAGGGGTATATTAACCCCAGCCTTTGCTCAGGGAGGTCATTCAGCAGCTGGGCTTCTAAGGGGTAAGAGCTCTTCCTTTCCTTCATTGAATGGGACTTTTCAAGCTATTTCTGCTTTATTGAAGCATCAGCTTTTACGTCCAAAGAAGCAGAGCTGTATATGGCAATGAAGAGGATTACACTCACATGCAGGGTTTTCAAATTTAATAATTTTGTGTCCTGTGTTGGTAAGGTGCTTTTGTAATGTGTTATCATTTTTTCTTTTCCTTAGGAGCCTTGCATCTTTTGGGATCTCCTGATCATCTCAACTGCAGTTTGGCATTTTTTCACCAGTGTTATCCAGTCCTCAGGTGAAGCTGCTCTGTGTTGAAGATGGCTACAGACACCCAGGTTTGCAAGTAGTCAGTGGGGGGTTACAGCTCAGAGATGAAGGGAGGGCTCAGTTGCTAGCTTGGGAATTGCTGGGATGTTTTGAAGGCAGCATGGGTGGAAAGCAGTGTCCAGGAGCCCCCTAAATGCCTGTGAAGGCACCCACTGACTTTTCAGATGTGCCACTTAAGTTTTCCTCTCCTTCACCCAGATAGTCTGTGCAATTACAGCTGCAGTCTTTGGCTGCAGGCAGTGACCCTGGGTGGTTTGCCTAAAGAGAAGGGAGAGTCTTTGAGCTCTCCCCATGTATCTGAGTGACTTTGGTTAGGGTTTCTTTACCATGTCAGAGGGACAGGGTGTAAAGCAGAGTTGAACAGAACAGAGGCCAGAGGAGCAGAGTAAGAATGTAGAGTGACAATTGTACAGCAGTTAAGGTCCCCCTGTTTATATGGCTGACTTTGGTAACTCATTTCTTTGCAGTGTCAGAGGGACTGGATGTAAAGCAGAGATAAACAGAAGAGGCCAAAGGGGACAAAGACACGGCTCGGAGTGACCCTGAAAAGCCACGAATTGGCAGCGAGGTCCCTTCCCCCGGTGTCGTGTGGTCAGTGGGGCACACATGGGTGGAGGGGCTGAGTGTCTTTTCTTCCTTAAAGAAGAACCCTGACCCAATTCCATCCCCGTGCATCCCAGTCCCTCCCCAGTTCCCATCCCCGTGCATCCCAGTCCCTCCCCAGTTCCCATCCCAGTGCCTCCCAAGTGCCCTCAATCCCATCTCAGTCCCTCCCCAGGGAGAGACCCACTGCAACCCAGTGCTCCCAGTCCCATCCCAGGCCTTCCCCAGTGCCCCTAGTCCCTCCCAAGTGCCCTCAATCCCATCCCAGTCCCTCCCCATTGCAACCTACTCC